ATATACAGTAACTGCCATTTAATATGTTACTCATAAAACCATATATACATATATATGCAGAGCGTAGACAAAGAAGAACTATACTTTTTCTTATAATTACTTTATAGTCCGTTAAATGGAAAAATATTAGTTTCTGATGGACAGAACGATAGTAGTGTTTTGAATAGTGACGAATTGTATACACTATAATAAACAAATAGATAATTAACAGTATCTCTCATTTCTTTTTATTGAATAATTTTGTACTTCATAAATATTCAATTACTTAACTTATTTTAATTTCGTTTACTAACAATGAAAAAATCTAAACATATTTTTCTTATCTTTAATAAAATGGTTTGATTTTAGTACACTGAATTTTAAAGAGTTCTTCCTAACAGAACGTACGATGCTATATAACTGATATAGATAAAATGTTACTTTGGAATGATAAGACTCTTATTTATCAAGATGAGTGAAGCAATTAGGGTGATAATATTTCACTTATACAGCTAAAATCTTTATATGATCTCGTTTCAATTTAAAAGAAAGTCAAAACTGCTGGAGCAGCTTGAGAATAAGATTTGTTTGTTGTTAGACGGTCTTTGCGTTTGAAAAATACAAGTTTTTAATAATTCTTTAAATAAGGAACTAGTGCTTAAATAAAATTTCTACTAAACGGAAAAAATTGCATATCACGTGAAAATAAAAAGGATAACTATATCTTTTTTGTTTTTCGTTACGTTTATTTTTGAAAATATGACGATACACGTAGTCTGTACTGGCTGAGAGACCTATGTTTACTAGGAATCGTTGAAAAAACTATTGGACTTACCTTTACAAACAGACATTTTGTTATATTTTGATAGACAAAGATAGCTGTTTATCGGCAAAGATTGTCTCGAATCTTAAAAGCAAGCAAATAAGAATGTTATTTTACATAAAATGTAATATGGAGCTGATAAACTATTTGTTGATAAAAATAAAAGATGTATCTCAGTGAAACAACATTCTGCTATTAATTATGGCGCTTAATTTTAATCGAGTTCAGACGTTTTTCATGTAGATCTACGAAAGAATCAACTTTTGATTATTTGTAACAAAATAATTGTGGCAATTTTCTACCATCTCCTCATTTCGAATTCTAGTAGTAGTCGTCTGTTACGATCTCAGGATAAAAGAAAAAGTGTTCTGAAGGTCGTAGGTAACAGTTGCAATTACTCACTAATGGCTAAACAATGAAATTCTGATTGGAGATCGGAATAAGAACGACAGGATGTTCGTAAATAAGTTAAAGTTTACTCATTGTCGAGAGAACATGAAGTGACATGCTAGTCTTCTAGTCGTTCTTGGCCCTAAAAAATCGAAAGAAATGTTATTAGGTTCCTAACGGTCTCTTGGTAAGTTCTTCAATCTATGTCTTCGGATGACATTCTATCTTGTTCGTTACAATGTGCATAGTTAAATCAGGCACAGCAAGGAGCATCCTATTCCGAATATATAGTCAATCGATTGGGTTTCTCTTGCTTTTTCTTTTACGATCTCCAGTACACAAATATTTCTGAATCCTTGTCATAAATCTTTAAAAAAAAATTATTTACAAACACCCAAACTTCTAGTCAGATGTCAGAAAAGAGTAATATGAAACGTAGGTCACCCATTATACGCACCATTTTAACATTTAACATATGCGTTTATTTATTTCAAATATTAAAAAGGCTGTCTATATTGTATTTTTGTTGTTCCTTTTATACTCTAAAGAATGAATCACGTACTAATAAAAATGCAAAGTTCAAGGACAAGTTCGAAAGGAGGATTTGATCACGTCATATATCCATGATAAAAGGTCGAACTAATCAAACGATTTGTAAGTGTAAAGCAAGTAGACAGACGCCTAGAAACAAAGAAGTAAGAAGTACTTAAAGAGAGTATCGAGACTGCCTCCTCCGAGAGTAGATAACGGATTGTCATAAATGTAATATTAGAAATTTGAATTCAAATATTTAACTATTTAAATATTGAGATATCCAAATATTTGAATATTTGATTTCAACTTTCGTATTTTGACACTACTGTTAGTTGTCACAATAATATTTGTGAAAGTCGATATTTTTTTTGATTATTTTCGTGAAATATACGTCTTATAGAAAATCTAGAAGACTCCATGTATTAAGTCTCTATTGTTTTCCTCTTGAATAAGACAAAGTGCTACTACTTTAACAAAATAATTCTTTGAAACATGTATGAATCATTCTATACCATTTGTTTGAACTTTTAGAAAATGAAAAATCCTGATCATGTAAGAAATTCATTTATATCTCTTATTTAGCAAGTGATATAATATGACCTTTTTGATTTTATAAAGAAGAATAATAAGATTTTTTCATATTAATCAAGTTTATAAATACTGCGCAAATGTATTATATTTGACATCAATAGGAAAATTAAAACGTTTTCTAGTTTCTAAAGAAACATGAAAAGTTTCTTAATTAATTTGATCTCTCGAGTGAAAAATGGCCTGTTCATTTCTATTAAAAGATTTTCTATGAAAAAATCTCTTTTGCTAAATAATTGTAATCGAAAACAAATACATTAATCAGCAATATTTGTTTCAATGTTTTAAAAATTTAACAGTATAATCGTCAAATATATACTGCAACAATTATTATACGACGACATATTTATGTGGTTTTTTTTACCACACATTTATCATTAATCTTAACATGTAGTTTGCTTGATTGCGTTGAAAAAAATATAATTATATATCTAATAAAAATTCTAACAAATTCTTATTTGACCTTAATAATTAGTTTACAATGACGAAGTTTTTCAACGAGTACATAGGAATAAAACACAAGTACGACATTCAAAATCTTTTATACAATAATTTAAATAAAACAAATACATCGAATAAATTTTATTGTCAGATGCTGTGTCGATTCATAAAAAAATTACGTTCATCATATAGTTTAAAATTTTTTAGTCATGTTTTGCTGACTAACAGCAATTTGTCGACGTCTTTTTCGATGAATTATTTGTTGTACTAGTTTTGGATGTGATCCAAGAATAGCAAATGGAAAAAGAACAATTGGAATATAATTAACATAATAGAAATAAGGTCCTTGAACATCAGTTCCAAAATCTGCTAAACCTGACCATCTTACAATTGTAACAATAATATATGGTAAATCAAAAAGATAAATAACTGATACAAAAACAAGTTGTATAGTCATTTTTCTGTATTGACGCCATCCCTGTGTAACATTTAAACGAGATTTTTGTATAATTATTCGAATAAAAAGAGCATTGCTGAAGATTATTAAGATGAAGATTGGTATAACATAATGAAATAATGATTCATACCATATTAACCATGCTGGAATTCCATAATAATAATAAGGACCACTACATGATAAGACTGTATAATCATATATATGTTCAGCTGGATAGAAGAAGATTAAATAAGTATATACAATTGGAGTATAAAATGTAACAAATACAAGTGGAAGATAATGAAATAATAAGCGTTTCCAACTTGTATTAAGTAAATGTGAATGAAATATTAAAATATGTCGTTCAATTGCTGCCCATGATTTTAAAAATAAATCTCCATACCAAAATCCATAATCTACTAATTGCCATACTAAACAAAGAGCTGGTGTAGATGGAGCAAGATATCCTAATCTTAGGAAACCTAGATGACATGTTAAATCTACCGATAGAATAATAAAATCAACAAATAAACTTGCAATAATAATATGATTATAAAGTGCTTGTCGAATACTTTTATGAGCCAAAAAATAATAAATTAAAAGCAGATAACATGGCATAGCAGAGGTCACACCTACTAATAATAGCCAAAACTTAATAGCTTTTGAAATAGGTGAATCATAAGTGAGAACTCCATTGCTGTTGTCAATAGCTGATGAATTGTCAGCCATCACTATACTAGTTTTTTTCTATATAGTTGATAAATGAAAGAGAATATAAACGTATGAAAGCGTGCGTATGTTATATATATATGATAAAGTTTTACTAATGAATTATATATGAGTTAGAAACACATTTCTAATGAATATAAACAGTAATAAACATATGCTTCAATCAACATGCCATGTAATATGAATTCCGTTACAATCATAAGGTTAGACACAGACGTGATACTTGCACCTTTTTCAAATTGAAAGAAGAGTAAAGTAAAAATTTTCTTTTACAAAAGAAAATGGAATTATTTATCTTGTTTTGGAAAAAGAGTACACCCTCAAGGACCAACATTGAACTCTGAGCATAAATGAGTACTTTCCGTCTGTCGAAGGTGAGTTTCATATTTTTCCTGTTATTCTCAAGCTGTAGAGTATTGAAAATCAGTCAAATTTGTTTTTAATTCAATGGAAGTGTAGTTCACTAGGTGTAAAATTTGACGCTGGTTCTGAGCATGACAGTTGTTTCAAATACAAAACAAGTAGTTTTCACTTTTCTTTTGAAAGGGAAAAAGAAAGTAAATATACAATTCATAGATTAAAAATAACCATAGTTGAAATTTGTTATATATCACGCAGATAAATGTATAAAAAGATGTAGATTAATAATAAACCTTGATTTAGTTTGAAAAGCATCAACGAAAAAAAGAAATCTTTTGAAATAACTAATCATTAACTTTTAATTAACTCCATTTAATCTTTGAAGCCGTATCACAAGTATATATGTAATACGTTCTATGGGTTTATGACAATATGAGACAGAGCAGACGTAAGGGGCGTAACGCTCTTTCCCCTACTTTCCAAAATCACCGCAAAAGATAGAAAAATGTGTGATATATCCATAGTACGGCCCTCATGTTCTTGTTACTTCGATACGCCCCGGAACGGTAAATACATGGCTGACATTTAGAAATTTCGAAAGTTTCAGAGCTGGTAACATATATTTGCGGTATCCATTCTCAAATTGTTAGTTATGCTAAGTATTCAATGAGCAAAATGAAAAAAGATACAAATTCAAGTAACATTGATAATTTTTGTTAGGCAAATTTCAATGTTTAATGAAATACGAGAGCAATATTTTCGGTATAGAAGTACCTATGTACTTCTTTGTTCTCATTAGTTAATTCATTGCTCACATCATCATGAGAGTAACATTTTAATTAAAATTACATTTATATACTACAATTAAGATATTTCTTTTCTCTCATTTGAAACTCTACAATATTAATGTTATCAAATATTTTGATTTCTCAATAATAAATAGTATACTAAACAACAAGTTTATTTAAGTTTTTCGGATTCCTCATGAACACTTCAAGTACGAACAAATATGAATAAAAAAGAATTTTATATTTATTATCACAGTCTTCATCAATTGAATATCTTAAACCATCTAAATAAGAACGTATTCATATACAATCATTACTAACAACACCACCGACAGGTTGGGTTCTTGAACCTGAAGAATTATCAAAAATATCTGCTCAATATAAGATATAAATAGTATATATTAATACGACGTTGAAAATAATAATATAATCTGACAAGATGTCTGATCCTGATGTTGTCGAAATAATGCGATTATTGTAATAATAAATACATTATCTAATAATCTATTAAATGAAAATGTCTACATTCGAACTTTTAATATTCTTAAAGTCATATTAGTTCAAAATACATTATTTTAAAACATTTAAATGTTTCAATAATCAATAATTCGATTGAACTGGTGGTTTTGTGTATTACTTCATAACTTACAATCTAACTAAAAGAATTATGACATAAAAACTTATGAACCATGAAACGAAATATATAACGTCTATATGCATTAATGTAGAGTCATCTACTTTAACACTATACATCAATAACGTTCAAATCATTAAGTATTCATTATGCTTCATTTATATTGTGATAGAATCTATGACAGCTCATATTTGATAAATTTTTACTTATTTATGACAAAATAAATTTACTCATAGTTTTTTTCTATAAAGTAATCAAGTCTTATTAAGATCAAATTTTCAATAACCATTACAACTATGATCATTCTCGATATCTTGATATAATAACAACCGTATCTTAAATCATTAAAAAAGAAGTCTATTCGTAATTTTTATCCAATAAAAATAATCAATATTTCATAAATGTTCAAATTTTCTTTTAAAACTAAAGATGGCTTGGCATGCCACCAGCAACAACAATTGTTTCACCAGTAATATATGTTGCATCATCACTGGAAAGAAATGCTACTGTACTAGCACATTCATCAGGTGTACCAACTCTACCCATTGCACATCCATTAAATGGTGGTATTGCTTCAGAATCTTTGACTTCATCATTTTCCCATAATAATTGACTGAATTTTGTCTTAATAATTCCAGGAGCAATACCATTAATTCTAATACCTTTTTGACTGCATGGATTAACAAGTGCTTTTGTTAAACCTAATAAAGTCGTTTTTGATATTGAATAAGCACCGATAAGATCAAGAGGGCTGTAAGCAGCTATACTGGATACAACAACAATAGAACTATTTTTTTGTTTTTCAAGATATGGAATAGCTTCTTTAATAAGAAAAAAAGCTGCTTTTACATTAACATCAAATATTTTATCCCATGCTGATTCTGTAGTCTAAATAAAAAATAAAATTTTTAATAAAAATAAAATAAATTTATTCTTTAATCTACTTCTAAAATATTTCCAAATGATGGACTTATTGCTGCGTTGGATATTAATATATCTAATTTACCATATTTTTCAATAGTTTCCTTTAATAAACGTGTTCGATCATCACTTTTGCTTACGTGACAAACTGTTCCATATATATCTAAATTTTCTTTTTTTAATGCTGCTACTGCTTTATCGACATTATCCTGTTTTCGACTGGAAATAACAACACGTGCACCTTCACGAGCTAATCGACGAGCAATGGCAAAGCCAATTCTTTATATTAAATAAATCTATTTTTAATCTTTCTATTTTAATTTTAATATTTATTTTTGTCTTACCCATCTGTCGATGCTGTTATACATGCTACTTTACCAGCTAAACGTGCCATTGAGAACTATTATATTCTTAAATCTGAAAAATGTAAAAATATATCATTTTGTTTCATTTTCTGTAAAAACAAAACGAAAGAAAAATAAGAAGATAATAATAGATAACATTGTTTTATAATATGATATGACAATTAACTAAAGTAACGGTTAATTATAGAATTCAGAGAAATTAGAAAGGAAAATAATGAAAATTTGATAAGAATCCGAAAAATAACGTGTTTTTGTATTTAAAAACTATTGAATATAATTATTTTCATGCATATTATATATCGATTTTCGATTCATGTTTACCTTAATAAAAGTATAACTCGTGACAACAAAGTATAAATAATTATATTTTCAGAATATTAACAGCAAGATAGTCAGAAACATAGATCTATCAATAAGGATACTGACTAAAACTATATGAAAATTATCTTATCAATCCATAGATTACATAGTTTTCGTTTACGATTTAATTTTAACAATATTTACGTCAATAAAATCTACAATTAATTTAATTTCATAAATTAGTATTTATTTAAAATCATACAGTTAATATAAATACTATATTCTATTTATTTTCATGCGAAATATATTATGTTTGATAGTATAGCAAATACAACTTCGTATATTAAAATGATTCATATAATAATGCGTGATCATTCTTTGTTATTGAAGCACTTGAAGTATTTTTACATTTTATTTAGATAATTTACTTCTAGTAAATACTATTGTACTGGACATTATTTTTTTAATTTTATATCTAAATAATGAAGTTTGAAATAATATAAATTTAGTTTTTCTATGAATTGATTATTTTATAAAATTAATTACGAGGAAATTTTTGTTATTATTTTCATACATTTAGTCTATACAAGGTCACACCCACAAATCGATAATCATCTGTGAATAAAAAAATGCACCTTGCTAGATTTTTTTTTAAACGTATATTTCGACTGTCATAGCATGTGCAAATAGAACAAGCAACGTAATAAAATCTTATCCAATCATATTTGAATAATCATCCTCCACAGTCACTTGACTCCATTTAATATTATATGGAAGCACGAGTTACCATCTTCTATATAAAAAGGGAACATAATTAATTTTAATATTATTATCAATCAGATTGAAACACTAAATATGTATGCATCAAATGAAGATGAATTTAATCAAGACGATGGTGACTGGGTTTTTTTACGTGAAGTACCACCAACAAATACTGTAAAATACCTCAAAAATATTTTTTTATTTATTTATTTATTTATCTATTTATATTAAAGATATTTCATGGTGCTGTAAATCTTACTGATGCTGATGAAACCACTTCAAGTTCTTCATCAAGCAGTAGTAGTGATAGTAGTTCATCAACACCAGATCCAAATGAATCTACTTCATCTCTTTCTTCGACTGAGTAAATATTTCGATTGAAAATCTTATTTGAAATTTTTTTATATTATTTTAATATAGAAATGAGCATGTACTAGATGATGAACAAGAAAATAATTTATTAATTGAAGCTCCGGTCTTAACTAGTCATATTAATGATGATACCAATGAGTCATTATTAATAGATGAAATTAAAGAAGAAGTTTCACCAACAGAAATACCAATAAAACATATTATTGATATTGAAACAAGTCCA